CTCGGTGTGAACGGGGAGGAGGACACTGGTCTCACCTCTGGGTGACATTAACTCTCTCCACGGGCTTTCCTTGTAGGTTAACCTCAGGTTGGGATGTGAGCAGAGGGGGTGGGGGACCACGAATGAAGCCCGCTGGCTGGCCCCCAGTGCACTGGTCTGTGTGGCCGCAGCTTTTAAGAAATGAAAAAGGCTTTTATTTGTGAGTTGGTCAGTCAGGGGACAGGAGGCAGGGCTCAGACCTGTCTCCCATTCAGGGTTCAGGGCGGGATTTCAGGGGCTTCAGCACCAGATCTTCCTGGACAGCAGACCTTTGGCCTCGGAGAGGGTCCTGTCCCGGCCGTTTGTTCCACAGTGGGAGCAGTGGAGGGCTCACAGGTGTCCCTCATGAGTGTGTATCCCAGGTTTGGACTTGGTTCCAGGCCGCATGGGAAACAGGACAGGACCCATCTGAGCTGGTTCTGAAGTTATAAGCAGATGTGGGGTGGGCAGGGGATATCCATGACCTCTGAGTCCTTGCTGGCCCCTCCAGGAGAACTCTGTGCACAGAGGCCACCAGCCTGTAGCTCCCCAGATGCCTAGAACTTTCCTTAGAGTTTTGGGCTCGGAAAGTACTCTTTTGCCACAGTGACCCAGACTAGGGGAAGGGAAGGAAATACATTTGAGTCTGTGGCTCGGGGATTTTGAGTTCTTCTTGGAAAATGCCGGCCACTGAGACATATGGAACCCTAGACACCTCTTCCTGGTGGACAGCCTTGAGGCTCCTGCAGGGGTGGCTTGTGGGCGGTGAATTCTTTCAGGTCTCCTGCGTGCTCTCCACCTTCTCTGTGCACTCCTATTCTGTGCGCATCCGCGCTGTGCACACCCGCCCTGTGCACTCCCGCCCTGTGCACACCCGCCCTGTGCATACCCGCTCTGTGCACTCCCGCCCTGTGCACACCCGCCCTGTGCACACCTGCCCTGTGCACACCCGCCCGTGCACACCTGCCCTGTGCACACCCGCCCTGTGCATATCTGCTCTGTGCACTCCCGCCCTGTGCACACCTGCCCTGTGCACACCCGCCCTGTGCATATCTGCCCTGTGCACTCCCGCCCTGTGCACACCTGCCCTGTGCATACCCGCTCTGTGCACACCCGCCCTGTGCATACCCACCTGTGCACACCTGCCCTGTGCACACCCGCCCTGTGCACACCCGCTCTGTGCACTCCCGCCCTGTGCACACCCACTCTGTGCACTCCCGCCCTGTGCACACCCGCCCTGTGCATACCCGCTCTGTGCACTCCTATTCTGTGCGCATCCGCCCTGTGCACACCCGCCCTGTGCATACCCGCTCTGTGCACTCCCGCCCTGTGCACACCCGCCCTGTGCACACCTGCCCTGTGCACACCCGCCCGTGCACACCTGCCCTGTGCACACCCGCCCTGTGCATATCTGCTCTGTGCACTCCCGCCCTGTGCACACCTGCCCTGTGCATACCCGCTCTGTGCACACCCGCCCTGTGCATACCCACCTGTGCACACCTGCCCTGTGCACACCCGCCCTGTGCACTCCCGCCCTGTGCACACCCGCTCTGTGCACCTCCGCCCTGTGCACACCCGCTCTGTGCACTCCCGCCCTGTGCACACCCGCCCTGTGCATACCCGCTCTGTGCACTCCTATTCTGTGCGCATCCGCTCTGTGCACACCCGCCCTGTGCACACCCGCTCTGTGCACTCCCGCCCTGTGCACACCCGCCCTATGCACACCTGCCCTGTGCACACCCGCCGGTGCACACCCGCCCTGTGCACACCCACCTGTGCACACCTGCTCTGTGCACACCCGCCCTGTGCACACCCGCCCGTGCACACCTGCCCTGTGCACACCCGCCCGTGCACACCCGCCCTGTGCATACCCACCTGTGCACACCTGCCCTGTGCACACCCGCCCTGTGCACTCCCGCCCTGTGCACTCCCGCCCTGTGAATACCCCCTCTGTGCGCACCTTCTCTGTGGGCACCCGTTCTGTGCGCATCTGCTCTGTACACACCTGCTCTGTGCACACCCGCTCTGTGTGCACCCACCCTATGCACAACTGCTCTAGTCTCTGTGCCTTATTTTTTTCAGGTCTGAGTTCCAATTTCCAGTTTTTCTCTTCAACCTTCTAATCTCTGTGACCCTCTATTGAGTGTTTAATTTCAACTGCTGTAGTTTCATTATCAAACATTCTGGGGGTTCGTTTTCAAATCTGCCACCTACTTCCTCTTTTCTTTATTGCAGCTTTTACTTCTCTACGATTCCATAGGTGTCTGGCGCTCTGCAGTGGACTTCCCGTGTCTGAGACTCCCTCACTGTCAGTTCTGCTGCTCTTCCTTGTGGCGGTTTTTTCTTCGTGATAGGGGAGTTTTGAGTTGTGAGCTCATATTTGCGTGGGCTCACTTTTTTGGATCTCCTGTGGCCTCTGTTGGGCTGCTTCTCCCCAGAAGGACTCATGTTGTGGCCGCCTGGCCTTGGGCATCTCTGAGTGGGCTGCTGCTCCGGTGATGCCCAGCCCTGCCTGCCAGGGGCGGTGCATTTGCTGACTGCTCCATCCCTGTCCCCTCTCCCTCCCTCAGGGACTTCCCCTTACTTCTTTGGGATCAGCAGTATATAAAAAAGTATGTTTGTTACTGTACTGCTTTCTCTATGAATCTAAAGCTGTTCTAAAACATAAAGAATACTTTAAAAAAACACGGCTGTTGAACTTTCCCTGGGTCTGCTCCCTCTGCACCGAAAGCCTCTCCCCGAGCCCTCCTCACGCTGGGCCCACGTCCACGTGGTCCCCACCCTCCTCCCTGCCCCGTGGCATCCCAATCAGCCACCACCTTCCCTGTCTCCTTGGCTTCAGCGACACCTCTCCCCTGGCCCTTGTCTCAGTGCATTTGGGGGATCTGTGCAGGGATTTTGTAGTGCCTTTGTCCTGTCTGTTGAAGCCTGAGAAATTAGTTTGAGCCATGACTGTAACCCGAAGTGAATCCGTCCTTCACATTTATGAAGCTTACATTTCATGGTTTACTCTTGCTGTTACTGTTGACAGTTTCTGGTTCGTGCAGCCCCTGCAGGTCTCCTTCTCATAGTCTCGGGATAATTTGCCTTGATGTTATTTAACGTCTGACACGACTGACTGCAGGTGACTGACTGTGAGTGTGGGAGAGGGACAGCGTCCACATGCCAGCCAGCCTGGGAGGAGCGCCGCCTGCTTCTGCGATGGAAGTCGGGCCCTGGCGCCGAGGGCCGAGGGCCGAGAGCCACGCACTGGCTGCGGGCTGCTCTCCTGCAAGATGACAGTTTAAAAACCGGACACACAGCAACACGTGTTTCACTGTTTGAAGTTTCTGACAAGGTGCCAGGATCCGTTGCAGTATTTCTGACCCGACACTCGGAATGGTTTGAAGCGGGCTGCCCCTCACCCACCCTGTCAGGAAGTGGTGTCCTCTGGACGTCCAAGCCCTTCCTTGGGGAGGAGGGTGGGCTGCTTCGTCGGGCTCTCTGGTCTTGTAGGTATACGTCCCACCAGGTGAGGGGCTAGGTCAGGTCTGCTCGGGATGAGAGAGGCCCCCCATCGCCACGCAGGCTGCAGGGGTTGGGAGCCTTAGCATTGGGAGGGGAGGTCAAGCAGAAAGTACAAAATCCGGTGGGCGCGGAGTTTCACAGCTCAGGGGCACGCGTGCTCCCTCCCGCCCCTGCCCTGGAGGGAGGGGGCTCTCACTGGCTGCCTGGCCAGCCCCAGGCACATCTGGCCTTCACTTGTTGGCATTGTGGCCTGAAGGGTCTTAAACCTGACCTCTGCTTGTTGTGGGGGCCCAGGACCTGGGAAGGGGTGTTGTGCGTGGCCTCCCAGGCTCAAGTCTGGGCGCTCTCAGCGCCTTGGGCAGGGCAGTCCCCACAGCCTGCCCTCAGGCTCACCTGCCTCTGCAGAGGCCGGCCGTTTCCACGCTGGAGCCGGGCCTGCAGCAAGGCGGCCCGGGAGGCAGCCCCTGCAGTCCGAGAAGCCTGTGCTTTACTCTTCTTCGGACCTGGGACGGTCCACATACAGCCGCCTTTGGGGCCAGGGCTGGGCGCTGTTCTCCGCGCTGGGGCTGGGACACCTCAGCAAGGGTGCCAGTCACCTGCCCCAGACCTGCTTCCTCCCAGCTCCTCTGCCTGGGCTCCCCCCTCCCCCCCACTTCCCAGATTCTCCTCCCTCCACGTGTCCAGGTGGAAGTGACCTTCCCACGAAGGCAGCCTCAGCTGTGGGAGGCAGCACATGCCCACGCAGACCTTCTCAGCCACTGTGGCCAGCCCGGGCCTGCAGTAGCTTTGCTAGTCCATGGCTGCCATGCCAGGACCTTCCTCCACAGCCTCCTCCTTCCAGGACTGGCTGCAGCCCGGTCCTGCCCCTGTGCCTCGGAGCCAGCCTCTCCCCTCCCCCGGCCTCGCCCTCTTCCAGGTGCCTCCTTGGGAGCCTCCCCCACCAGCCTGCGGCGGCCACTCCTCCCGCAGCTGGCGTGGCGGGGCCTGGGTCTGCCCTGGACAGTGGAGGTGGTACTAGTGCCGGGCACCGAGGAGGGTGTATTGTGCCCAGCGCAGCGCTGGCACCGGGCACAGCTGACTTGCAAGCCAGCGGCACTGAGCGGTCTGTTGGCAGGTCGCCCGTCTCCTGATGCTGCCTGTGCCCACAGACCGCAGCCCCGGGCTCAAAGACTGAGTGTGGAGACATGTCCTCATTGAGGTGTTACTAAGACTGAGGTGCAACGTGCTGGGATTTGTTCTTTTCCAACGAAAATGACGATGACTTCCGCTCGTCCTGATGCGGCCTGGCTGCCCACCAGCATGGGCGGAGCTCGCTCAGGAAGTGGGAGCTTGACTCACGGAGGTGTTGGTTCTCCGCACACCTGCCGGGAGCAGGGCCTCCCGGACGCTCCCGCGGTGTCCTCGGATGGACGCGCTGTTTCCTGACGTTTGTCATGAGGCCTAATTAACTCATGTCTCTCTCTCTTTTCTTTCAGTCTGCAACTGTGTCTGACGGTGGTAAGTCACAATTTCTGATGTATATTTTTATTATTTTTAATGAAGTGTTCAAACTGTGAAAGTGTATTTGCCATGAACTCATCCACAATAGGGTTTTCTTTGCCATTTCCGCCCCAGGGGAGGATTTCAGTCGGGGCTGCTTAGGGGGAGCTGGCCTGGCCCCGGGGCCGCCGTGTGCTGTGGAGGCCTTCACTGGGACGGTCGGCCGGCGCCACACGCCTGGGCCCACAAGCCCGAGCCTGCGGCCCCTGCGGTCCAACCGGCTCGCACACCAGGGAGGGACGCGCTCGGAGCTCCTGCCGAGTCGGAGCAGGCCCGGGACGGGTGACACACTCAGCTGCTGAGAGGTTGTGGGGGAGGAGCAACCAAAACCTTTGTCTTTCATTACTTCGTGCGTGGGAATCTATGAATGGGACTGATTCAAGGAGAGGCCGGGACCTCGCAGCCCCCAGGGGGCCCGGTCCATGCTTCGTCTGAGCTCCGAGGCCGTGTGGAGGGTTTCTTCCAAATGTTCCTTGTTCCTTATGAACTCAGTGAAGTCCTATCGTAGAGGTTGTTTTTACATGATTTTAATTAATCTGTTTTTCTGGGTTCTGGCAGTTGAATTTTATAATTTATCAAAAGGAACCAGAACTTTCTTTTTGTTTAGGTGCTGACTGTGGGTCTGAAGTCCAGATGATAGCCAAAGCCGATGGGCTCGAGGCTGGCCGCATCGCGGGCCGAGGAAGGGTTGCTTTCCCGGGGGTGGGGCTGGGAGCCCCCGGTGGGCACGCGCTGCCCCTGTCCTGACGCCAGCCCCGGACAGCCAGAGCCGTGCACCTGGGGCTGCAGGTGTGCCCACACCGGGCGCGGACACCAGAGGGGTCTGCTGTTTGTGCTTGGGATTTAATTTTTTAATCAAAGGAATTGTGTTACCTATTTTATGTATAGTGATAACCATGTCATTTAATCCGTCCTAAGCCTGGCGTGGGAATAACTTCCTTAAAAAGAAATAGGACCCGTTGCCAAATCCAGGACGAAGTGAGTGTTTTACGAGATTCTGGTCACGCTGCCCTTCCCACTGTGTTCTCGTTTTTCTTTTCTGGTGAAAGTCTCATCTCTGCAAGAAGCGCACCTGTCTGAGAAGTTTGTTCTCTGTGTTCAGTTGAACCCTAAATACTAGGCTTTCCTGGCCTCCGAAGTCCCTCTGGCAGCAGTGGGTTCAAGGACCTTAGGGACCGTCTGACAAGGCCATTGTGCACTGTTCTTAAAGCTGAACTTCCCAAGTGTGGGAAGTCCCTGACTCACAGCCTCTGTCCTTTCTAAGGAAGTCGTGTCCTGGCTGGTGGTAGTGGTTCCCCTCTGAGGGGCTTTCCACCCTCCAGTCCCACCTCCTTTCCCACTTCAGACCCTGGTGCCAGGGGGTGGGCCTGGGCCCTGCAGCCCCTGGGCCCTGCAGCCCCTGTGGCAGAGGGAGGGGAAGGCCACAGTTCCATGAGCATGCCCTGAAGCTCAGAGACTGCACAGACCGCTTAGACATGTCTTCCCATCTTGGTGCGTCTCTTCGATTTCTTTACAGGTTATAAGTAAGAAGAAAAGGTTCTCTCGGTCAGTCTGCATGTTGGTCTTGGACTCATAGACTACATTCTGCCGTCTTTAATCGGTACGGACCCTGAGGCCGAAGGACAGGTTGCTCAGGGCCACAGAGACACCAGGAGAAGTGGCCGCCGACCTCAGAGCTACGGGGCCCCTGGCTGCGAGGCTCGTGTGCTCTTGCTTCCCACCCGGCGTTCCTAAGAGCCCCTCCAATTGCTGACACCCACTTCCTGGGGGCGCCTCCATGGGACAGGAGACCCCTCCTGTCCGCCCTCCCCCGCAGTGGGCAGGAGTGTGTTGAGAGGATCTGGCGGAAACTCGGTGTCCCCACACGGAGGTGCCCCACACGGAGGTGTTCTGTCCGTGTGGGGTCTGGGGCCTCTGGCAGCAGTTTCTGTGGGGAACACGCTTGACTCCGTGCAGTGACTCGGGCCCACTTGGAAAGTGATGCTCACGGGGTGGGGTGGTCTCACCCTCCAGCCTCGCCTTGGTGATGAGCAGACCACTCCCTCCGAAAGTGTCAGCAGGCAGGTGGGGCTCATGGTACTGACTCCGCGTGTTTGCACCACGCGGTTTTGTGGTTTTATTTAAGGGAGTTGGACAAGGCTGCTCTTGGGGTCCATCAACTCCAGGCGTTTGCGCTTTCTCAGGAGAGGGGTTCCTGACCCCAGCTCCAGGCCCGAGGCCGCCTGTGGGGTGTGCTCAGTCTCGTGGGGGAGCCGCAGCCCCGGAAAGAGGCGTGCTTGGCGGCAGAGAGGCTTGGTGGTGTGCCGCCCGTGGACTGTGCAGGCGTGGGGCAGAGCCCGAGCCCGAGCCCAGGTCTCCGCTCCTCACGCTGTGTGTCACAGAGTTGTTCTTACTTTTAAAATTTTTCACTCCATAAGCAGCTCTGCTAGGACTCCCCCTCCCACCAGCTCACACATCCTCAAAGGTTGAGTGTGCTCTGCCATTTCTGGATCTGACTTCTGAAGGGGAGAACTTGGGGTGTCAGACGCCCACATCTACAGCACATGTCAGGCTGTGCACGTGGGAAAGTCCACGAAGGAACTCGGCTCTGGCCTCTGGGTGTGTGAACGTCCACGCGACACCTCCACCTCAGCTGCTTCATGCACACTCTGTCCCAGCTGCTCTCTGCTGCCGCTCCCTGGGGCGTGCCTGTGCCCACGACGCGGTTCGTGGCCTCCCTCAGCCGGGCCCCACGAGGCTGCAGTGTCCGCCCTCTCCCTCCACCTCGTTTCTTCCGTCCACTTTGCTCCTGGACCTAACCCTAACCCGGCACCGTCCCCCACCTGCTCAGCCGCCTGGGGTTGTGTAGCGTCCTCTCGTGCCTCGCCGGGCACCGCCCCCCACCTTGGTCTCCCAGGGCCCTCCGACACACAGGGTCTCGGTGGCCTCGCCCACGCTGTCCCGCCACCAGCTGTGCCCCAGCCGTGCAGCCCTCAGAAGCCCCTGCCGTGCGGCCCTGATCCGGCGTCAGCCCAGCGTCCTTCCCTCCCAGCAACCAGCAGGCCCATCATGTTTTGTTTGTTTTTAATATGTTTTTATTGACTTTAGAGAGAGAGGAAGGGGGAGAGAGAGAGAGAGAGAGAGGGACATCCATTTGAGAGAGAAGCATTGATTGGCTGCCTCCTGCACACCCCCCGCTGGGACTGAGCCCGCAACCCGGGCATATGCCCTGACTGGGAATTGAACTGGGACCTCTCAGTCCATGGGACATGCTCAACGCACTGAGCCACCCCGGCTGGGCATGGCCTTTGATTTTAAATCTGCTCTCTGCCCTGCTTTGCTCGGTCTGCCCCTTTTTCCTGGAGCGTGATGGACCGAGCAGTAGGGCATCAGCGAGTGGCTGCAGGTCGGGGGTGACAGGAGGTGGTGAGGCAGGGCTCCTCAGCTGCCAGGCAACTGAGGAGCCCTGGCCGGCCAGAGTCTGTCGCTGCGCTGGCTTTCACCCGCTGGGGACACCGACTTTGGCTTTGTAAACGCTGGGCCTGCACCTGCCCCAGCTCAGTCCCAGGAGCCCCGAAGCGGGAGACTCGGCACCCGCCCCTTCGTGCCTTTGTAAATGGTAGCCGAGCGCCTTGCTGGCAGGGGAGGGTGGCTTAATCGTGATCAGACTGGAAGACAACCAAATACAGCATTATAAGCTGGTCATTCTCAATCACTGTGATTACCATAAGACAGCCCATAAAAGACACTGTCAGAGAGAAGGGGTGTAGTCAAGGTCATGTGCCCGCGGTCGGGCTCCGTACCCAGCCTCAGCACCCGGCCTGCCTGTGCTGTCCTGACTCACCTCTGGTATCAGTAACTACTTCCTGCACAGGCGTTCCTTTATTTTTTCTTTTAAAAAATTATCTTATTTTAATTTTTTAAAAAATATATTTTTAGCCCTGGCCAGTTTGGCTCAGCGGTTAGAGCGTCGGCCTGCGGTCCAGAGAGACCCAGTTTCGGTTCCCGCTAAGGGCACGTGCCTCGGTTGCAGTTTGTCCCCGGCCCTGGTTGGTCATGCGGGTGGCAGCCACTTGATGTGTCCCTTTTGCGTCAATGTTTCTCTCTCTCTCTTCCTCTCTCTCCCTCCCACTCTGTCTGAACAAAAAATGGAAGAATGTCCTCAGGTGAGGATTAAAAAAATATATATATATATTTATTTTCTTTTCTTATTGATATTTTTAGATAGAGAGGAAGGGAGAAGGGGAGGGAGATAGAAACATCGATGAGAGAGAAACATCGACTGGCTGCCTCCTGCACGCCCTCTACTGGAGGTCGAGCCCGCAACCTGCACATGTGCCCTGATTGGAAATCGAACTGGGACCCCTCAGTCCATGGGACGACGCTCAGTGCACTGAGCCATACCAGCCGGGCTCTTATTTTTATTTTTTCCAACTTTGTTGAAGCACAGTTAACAAATAAAGTTGTATGTACTTAAGCATATGATGTGATGATTTGTTATGAATACGTGTGTGCAATGCTCACCACATCCAGCCAACGCCACGATCGCCTCTCAGTTACCTTTGTGTTTTTTTGTAGTGAGAACTCTTAAGAGCCACTATCTCAGTGGATTTCAAGTATACAATACAGTATTATTTGCTGCGGTCACCGTCCTGGACCTTAGATCCCTGAAACGTCTTCACCTTCTAACTGAAACTGTGTACTTTGCCCAGGTCTTCCCGGTCCCCACCCCCCCGCCCCCAGCTCCCGAGACCGCCAGTCTGCTCTCTGCTTCTGTGTGTTAGTGTGTTCAGGCTCCATGGAGAAGTGGCATCATGCCGTCTTTGTCTTTGTGTCTGGCTTCTTTCGCCTCGCATCACGTGCTCTTGGTTCATCGGTGCTGTCGAAAAGGCAGGGCTTCTTTTTTATTCTGTGGTATACGCACACCACAACTTCTTTACCAACTCATGTGCTAATGGACACGTGTTATTTCTGTCTTG